TGCTGTACTACTACTACTACTACTACTACTACTACTATGATATTTTTTTGATACGGATATTTTTTTTTTGATCTAGGTTTGCAGCACGAAACCCGTGAGGTCTCACACAGTGGCACCAGGATATTTTTTTTTATGCATATATTTTTTTTGATGCGTGCTGGATATTTTTTTTGATGCATTTATATTTTTTTTGGATACGTGTCGCAGATTTGCATGCCTCATTGGACAATCCCAGCATATACGGGGATCATAAAGGCAGTTTCAAATGGTTGCGCAAACCATGCATCTTGGATTTATGTGGGATTCCAGCATCATGAGCAGGGTCCCCCCAAGGATTACCAACGAGGGGGGAGCAATTTTTGGTGGTGACCCGTCAACAATCCCATGGGACATATATATAAATAAATAAATGCATATATATATATATACAGTATATATATATTTGGCAGTGACTTTAGCAGCAAAGACGAATCCCAAAGTTATGCCCAGATATATCGCCTACTGAGGTTATCGTCCAGATTTCAAACAGATGCACAAGGATTTCCCAGACATCGCGCCTGAAGATCTGGGTTCTGCGGCTCGGCATGTGCCGCAAGCGGGCAAGCGGCACATTTCAAGGGACGAGATTCCGCAAGGGACTCTGGTAAGAGACTTACAGCAATTGAATGACCAATACCATCCTACATATGTGTATATATAATATATATGTACATATATATATATGTACACATATGTACCTGATAATACACATATATATATATATATATGATGTGATATATACATTTGGCTACATGCATCTGAAAAATCCGCAGGTAAATACCACATTCATGGTCAGGGTGATGGCAACAAAGCCAAGGTTGGTTATGAGGGGGAAGAGACGATGTACGTCTCTTGGTGCCGGAGTGCGTAAGATGGCATGAACCAGGTCAACGGGGGTTTAACGGAAGTACATTGAACAACAGTAAATCGATTTTTCGGATATAGCAACTTGTGTGTTGTTCCTGTTGACATTTCATGATTTCTAGAAAAACATCCTTCCGAATTTACAAAGCTTCACCATTTTTTCCAACCTGTTTTTGCCAATTTGCAGTTTCCTCCTGTGGCTCCGGCAGTAGCCAGGGAGGTTTGGGAAAACCATTGAACTACCCGGCCTGGTTACGACTAACATAGCCATGGAAGCCATGGCCCATAGAAATAGATGGTGTACCTGGGTTTATCTATTAAGAATGGTGATTTTCCATGGCTATGTTAAATAACCAGATGGTAAATGTATGATTTTCCAGCAATGTTTGATGGCCAGAGGAGAGTCCTCACATCCTGGAAGTTCATGGAAGTCTTGCAACACACTAGCTGGGATACATCCCAATCGGTGAAAAACACATGGAAAGGGATGGTCTCAGCGAGACGGGAGCATCCGGAGCATCTCATTGGTGGTTTCAAACAACCACTGTCAAACGGATGTCCCCATTTTTTTAAAACACGCCCATAATAGCGGACCTAACATGAATAGATCTTGAACTGGGACCGTAAGCCAGGGGGGTTGTTTGGATATTTCATATATGAACGGGAGCATTTCTTGCCGTTTTTTTTCGCTGAAAAAATCATCGGCCAGTATTTAGTTGCAATGGGTCATTCCATCAGCAAAAAGGTCTCAAGATTTTGGATCCCCAGAACTTGCCATTTCATTCGTGGCGAACTAGCCATTTCATTCGTTTGATGGTGAACTTCCCATACTTTTGCGAAAAAAAACGCCATGAAATTGATGCTTCTTTCAGCCGAAAATGCTGCCATGTTGAGACCCAGCCGAAAATCGCAGGTTTCAGAGGCCGTCTTCGATGCTGCTTACTCTCAGAATCTGGCTGCAAGCAGCCAGGAATCCAAACCCATGGAAACCCCAAGTTCGGGACATCCAAAATTACCGAGCTAGGGTGCCACCTGAGCAGTGGAATGATGGTGGAGTGGGATGAAATTGGTTGCAAAGAATCCCAGGTACAGTCAATTTATTGTATACAACCCCCTAAAAAAATCATCAACCTTTAATTTACTGAGTATGTCCATTTATGTCCTTTTTTTGGTCACAAACTCGGGTGTGGCGATAGATTTGTCACTTTTGCAACATTGGGGATTTGAGCAGAGCCATGTGGATGATGAGAAGTAACACAAGTGGCATCTTTTGTGGCTCCAGTTTTCAAGACAAAACATGCGTTTGGACTTTCCGAAAAAGATGATTCGCAGCTCCGACACCTGGGTTTATCGGTTTATCCACATCTGGGTACCCCGATATCCACTGGTTTGAAAAATGATCTTTCCATCAACAAATGCCATGCATTGGGTGTAACTCCCCCATGTTGAGACAGATATCCACCATCCTGCCTTTGTAGATGGTGGCGCCCCACAGTTATGGTTCGGTTGGTTCGTGACATGTAAAATGACCCCCATGAACTAGTTCGATACGTTTACCATAAAACTAATTATTGGAGTTTTATAGACTGTACTTGACGGTTCACTCCAGTTAGGTGAGCTAGAACCCCAGATATTGATTGTGGGCATTGCCCCAACTTACCCGTTTATCAAAACCGGGGAACTGGGGCTAGGACTCGGAGCCACCAACTGTGAACCACCAAGTAAGCCATCTAGATGCTATCAAAAAAACCATCCGGTAAACTAAGATAAACATCGAAAATCAATGGTTACATTTTCATCATAGGTAAATCAACGAACTAAACAGCCATGGCTTCAATAGCTATAGGTTAAAGTACCGGAGGGTTATCGGGGCCCCACCGGTAGTAGATTTCCTGCCAAGGAAAGGCCTGATCTTGGCCCATCATAAGGGCTACAACCGATCACACGGCAACGATCCTTGGAAAACATTGCGAAAAGCAACATGACATGGGGATCGCGGCCCCAACAATTAAAGCCAAAAAAAGGGGAAGCGGCGGAAACGTTTTTCTTTTAAAAGCTTGGGACTGCGATTCTGAAGCATGTTGCAGATTTTCATGGAACATGAGAAACATGAAACTTACTTTCGAGTAATCCCACCAACTGACATTGACATATATTCTGACAGTGACATTAAATTTGACATATATTCTGGCATTTATTCTGGAGAGCCCGCGAGCTCGCGTTTTGCCATTCTGTCTGATATAAAATGTCTAAATATATTTCCCATGAATTGGCAAATTCTCTTTCAAAAAGAAAATTAGAGGTCATAGCAAATGTGAAAATATAATGTTGCATAAAATCTCACAAAATATGCCGGATAGAATGTCTGACTATATGCCGAGTGGACTGTCGAAAAAACATCAAGATATCTGCCACGTTGAGGATCAAACACATTTTGAGACGAATCTTGCAACTCTGTCTGAGATAAATTCTGACATTCTGTTTGATATTCGCCATACATTCCGACATTTTATCTGGTATTTACTCTGACAATAATATCTGCTATCTTACCGGACCGGACATACATTCTGGCATTTGATCGATCTGGGATAGTGTTTTTGGGTCGCCGGCGAGGCCCCTTTGGAGCCTGAGGAAGACAGGGATGTGCTGATGAAATTTGGTGACCCCCTCTACCCTATCTTCACATAAACCTATGCTAGTGCTGGTGCTACCTTGAGAAAATGAAGTCCCGAGGGCTTCAAACATCCTACCTTTCAGAATCCCTGCAGAAGTCCATAGGCTTGGGAACTACTGTGGTGTTTCGTCCCAAGTGATAAGTGGGTAACGAAAACCAACATAGTTAGAGGTAGGGTAGTACGCTTTGTCCACTTATGAGTGGGGTTATATCCCACTTACTAATTGGGGTGAACCACCGAACAAGTAGTTCCTTACTGTAATGGTGATTTAACAATGCAATATATTTTTTTTAACCCAGCAAAACATGGGACATCATCGAATTGATTGGCAATTGGGGGTTTCAGATTAGCCTTTAAAATTAACTGCGTTGGATGATCATTCATGGACCGAGTCCCGAGGCCCAGATGTTCTTCGATTCGGTGACGGAGATCCAAGTCTCAGGAGCAACCGGGGGCCTTTTTTAGGGGCAGCTCGAGACTGGAGATAGGATGTACTCTCTTATCTTGATTGTGCTGATTTTAAAATGCAGGCATTTACCAGGCATTTACCAGGCATTTGGTTCATTCTGCAAACTTGAGGGTCGCTTTCAACACTGGAGGGTTCTGGTCGCATTCCCATTCGGTTGATCAGGTTTTTGGAATCGAAATTGGATGGAGGTTCTCCATACCACAGATATACCATGGAGCTTAACCATGGCATATATATGAATAACAATTGTTTATATATGGATATATGGTGATATAACCATTCTATATATTATAGATATAACCATTCTATATATTATATATATATTATGGATATGGTTATACTTTACTGTCTTTCAATTCTGAATAAATTCAATAACACGTTGGTTTCAGACCTATGTTTGTGGCTTTGGTCTGGCAGTCTCGAATGGGAAGACCAACTTCACCTGGTTGGGAAGGGCGGCCCCATCGGATCACGCCAGATTTGAAGCTCTGTGTGGATTCAGAGCTCAACAACCCTTCCAGAATGGAACCATATGCGACTTGGCACAGAAATCTGCCGCAGCTGGGTGGCAGAATATACCCTGCTGATCCCTGCCGTTTCAATGATGTGCATCCCTCCAAAAAATCCTAAACCATGGGCATTTCATACACAACTTGACCCATCCCAGGTGTTGAAACAGGTGACTTGGGGTTTATTGGGCTCCAAAAAAAAATGCCACCGGACTGATCTACCCACGTCTGGTTTGAACATGTTAAACTGTTTTATCAAATAATCACATGGAAGATGCATGATGTAACACATTTTATCCAATTAGTCACTTATAGAGTTGCCATAATACTAATGGATAGGCCCTAAATAACCGGATGAAAATCATGTCATTTCCGCAGCCACAGCAACCATCACTGCCGGGCTTTCCGCTTAACAGCGTCTCTGAGGCGCGATTTTCGGGTGACTCTGAGGGTGTCGTGAGTGGCGCCGCGGGCGTCGTGGCCAAGTGTTCTGATGGATATTGGTGGCCCTCCCCTGCCTGCCGCGATGACGTGGCAGGCTGCAGCTTGGAGACATAAGGGGGAAGATTGCGATGACAAAAGATATGGAAAAAATATGGATGGAACTCAAGATATGCATTTTCTATAAAATAATATATACAACATATATCAACATGTATCAACATGTATCAACATCTATCAACATCTATCAACATGTATCAACATATATCAACATATATCAACATATACCAACATGTATCAACATGTATCAACATCTATCAACATCTATCAACATGTATCAACATATATCAACATATATCATCATACCTACATACATACGTACGTACGTACATACATCCATCCATACATCCATCCATCCATCCATCCATCCATCCATACGTACATCCATCCATCCATCCATCCATCCATCCATCCGTACATCCATAAATCCATCCATACATCCATACATTCATCCATCCATCCATACATAATTACATCCATCCATACATCCATCCATCCATACATCCATCCATTCATACATACACACATACACACATACACACATACACACACATACACACACATACACACATACACACATATACATATACATATACACACACACATACATACATACATACATACATACAGGCAGGCAGGCAGGCAGGCAGACAGACAGACAGACAGACAGACAGACAGACAGACAGACACACAGACACACAGACACACAGACACACAGACACACAGACACACAGAAACACAGACACACAGACACACAGACACACAGACACACAGACACACAGACACACAGACACACAGACACACAGACACACAGACACACAGACACACAGACACACATACACACAGACACACACACACAGACACACATACACACATACATACACACATAAATACATCCATCCATTTATCAATCCATCCATCCATTTATCCATCCATACATCCATCCATACATCCATCCATCCATATATACATCCCTCCATCCATACATCCCTCCATCCATACATCCATCCATACATCCATCCATCCATACATCCATCCATACATACATCCATACATCCATCCATCCATCCATCCATACATACACCCATACATCAAAGCATCCATCCATACATCCATCCATACATACATCCATGCATCAAAGCATCCATACACACATCCATGCATCAAAGCATCCATCCATCCATCCATACATACATCCATCCATCCATACATCCATCCATACATCCATCCATACATCCATCCATCCATACAACCATCCATCCATACATCCATCCATCCATCCATACATCCATCCATCCATACATCCATGCATACATCCATACATACATCCATCCATCCATACATACATACATACATACATCCATATATCCATCCATCCACCAACCCATCCATACATACATACATCCATCCATCCATCCATACATACATCCATGCATCCATCCATCCATTCATGCACCCATACATCCAACCATCCATACACCCATCCATCCATCCATCCATACATCCATCCATCCATACATACATCCATACATTCATCCATCCATCCGTACATCCATCCATACATCCATACATCCATCCATCCATCCATACATCCGTCCATCCATCCATACATCCATCCATCCATACATCCATCCTTCCATACATCCATCCATACATCCATCCATCCACCCATACATACTTACATCCATCCATCCATACATCCATCCATCCATCCATACATCCATCCATCCATACATCCATCCATACATCCATCCATCCATACATCCATCCATCCATACATACTTACATACATCCATCCATGCATCCATCCATCCATCCATCCATACATACATACTTACATCCATCCATACATCCATCCATACATACTTGCATCCATCCATCCATCCATACATCCATCCGTCCATACATCCATCCATCCATACATCCATCCATCCCTACATCCATCCATCCATCCATCCATCAATACATCCATCCATCCATACATCCATCCATCCATCCATACATACTTACATCCATCCATCCATACATACTTACATCCATCCATCCATCCACCCATCCATCCATCCATCCATCCATACACCCATCCGTCCATACATCCGTCCATCCACCCATACATACATCCATCCATCCATACATACTTACAGCCATCCATATATCCATCCATCCACCAACCCATCCATACATACATCCATCCATCCATACATACTTACACCCATCCATCCATACATCCATCCATCCATACATCCATCCATCCATACATCCATCCATCCATCCATCCATCCATCCATCCATACACCCATCCATCCATACATCCATCCATCCATCCATACATCCATCCATACATCCATCCATCCATACATCCATCCATCCATACATCCATCCATACATCCATCCATCCATACATCCATCCATCCATCCATACATACTTACATCCATCCATCCATCCATCCATACATACATCCATCCATACATCCATCCATCCATACATCCATCCATCCATACATCCATCCATCCGTACATACTTACATGCATACATATTATTTGACATGTATTTTTTATTCCCCAGATAGCTGGCAAACTATAGGGGTTCTTCCTTGTCATAGGTCAGGTCTTCCGGGTGCAGCGCAGGGTGCGGTGGCGAAGTCTGGCGAAGCCAATGCTGAAGGGAGATGCATGAAGAGGTTGATGGCAATCCAGATTTATCCTCTGGTAAATTAGCATAACTCTGGAAATCATCATGTTTAATGGGTAAATCAACTATAAATGGTCATTTCCATAGCTATGTTAAATTACCACAGGGTACTGGATTTTTAGAGGTAGCACTGGTGAAATTCCATATGTGCGATACATATTGGCGATTTCACAGCTATGGAAGATCACCATAAAAAATGGTCAAACGTAGTTTTGATCATCGAACTAAATGGGCTCAGTGGTTTCCATGCATAGCTATGTTGAATCAGTGGGTACTGGACTTTTAGAGCTTGAAATTATTTGAAATTGTAAATTTCCATGTGACACGAGGAAAACAATGCTCTTGGGAAAAAGTCCTGAAGTTTGCACATTGATAGTCATTGATGCTGTTTGACAGGTTGCGCTCGGATATTGATACAACCATGTCGACGGCATCGGCACCATGCCGTTGCCCAGGTATCCCCTTGATCACGGGCGGCAATGGCTGGCGGATTCAGGCCTTGATGCAGTGGGCCACTGCATACGATATGCCCCTAGCCGTAGGGGTCGCCAAAGCTTGGGGTGATTATGTCCCTGGGACCCGAAGCGGTCGAGGTCGAGGGCTCGACCCAATTGGTTTCGATGTGGTGAATCGGGAAGGACATCAATCTATCTCCATATAGAGATCATGACACTTAAGCATGAACCAACAACAAAAACATTGCATTGCACATGACCAATAATGCTCTCACTAGTGACACGCCACTTTGTGATTTTCGGCACTTTTGGTTGATCATGTTGATCTCAAACCAGGGGTGATGATCATATCATCATATCACTTAAGTTCGTGCTCAAAATGGTGCCTTGAGATCGGGTGATGATCATGATTGGGGGAGCATGGGGCTGTTTGAAACCACCACCTCTATGGGTTTCTACGGTTTCGAAATAGAAATTGGATCATGGGAGTGGCTTCAGGGACATCTCCACGAAAAGCATAGGGGTTTTACATGATTACTGGTTGGTGGTGACTGGAACCATGGAATGGATTATGACTTTCCCATGATATTGGGAATTTCATCATCCCAAGTGATAAACATATTTTTCAGAGGGGTAGGGAAAAACCACCAACCAATATACACTGGCATACATTGGCCATGTCGAACAGTTTTCCATGAACTTTTGGGACTCGCCAGCCCAAGGTCAACCTCATTTCATCCAAGAGAGCTCCTGGTCGAATTTGGGACGGGTACTTAACCATACTTAACCTGTTTGCTATGGGGAGATATTAAAGTAACTAGGGAAAACAACAGGCAGAGTATCTATAAGATCAAAAAAGATCCAGCTAAAATCAGCATGCTTAGCAGGCCAACCATTGGCGAACCACAAGGTCAGACGTGGGTATTCGACCTTGGTGTTTCCAGGCAAATTGTTGTTTTGGGCTCATTAATTCGGGAAACCTTTACAGCATTTGGTGATCCTGAGACATTCCATTGCCATGGGTCTTCCCAGTGGTTTCATCAATCACTTTACTTTATATTACAGGCATTTCGTACCGTGAATTTCGTCATCTTTTGGGTATTTCACTTCATCATGGGCTATTTAGCGTAATACTTATCACATCTTACGCGCTTTTTCTATAGTTTCCCAAACACTGTATAGTTATTTCTTTGGTAGTGTCAACCCCAGCTTAATAAACCATGGTTTGTTAATTAGGGGGTACTCCTCCAATAGTTATAAAATACTTAAATGGTACCCTCCCAATTAAACAGCCTAGGGGTTTATAGTTTATACTGTATACTTCTGGCACATATCGCTGAATCGTGGCTGAATTTATTGTCACCATCGCCTCGGTAAATAGAAAAAGTGCTCCGGTGATCGGGGATATCAACCAGGGCTTGGTCAATGGCGGCAATTTTTCACATCACCCGTATACCCATTATGCGAACCATGGTGCTGGTATATTTGCCTAGAAAACTGGGTGATTTTGTTGGGGCAAATGTTGGGAAAATATTCCATCAACATGGAGCATATGGGTTATAATAACTATATATTTGGGTATATTGAAAATTCAAACAGATATATACTCGAACATGGAAAAAACCTCTGTTGTTATTGTTACCCTCTGGTATCCACACATAGCTAGCTGGGAAATTTGTCAACTAAATGGAGGGGAAAGGGTATCGCTTCGGGATACGTGGAGTGCATCGCTTCGGGCTACGCCTCATGCATCGCTTCGGGATGCCTCAACATCATCATCATCATCATCACCACCATCATCATCGTCATCATCGTCGTCAACAATAATAGACATTATCATCATGTTGACCATCAGGTCTTGCTGTAAGATTTTGAAGTGATTCCAGAACCTAAGCCCTCAACAAAAACTCAAAGCTGATTTTCTGGTTTTCAGGCCGAAAACTATGGCGAGCCAACCCCTTATCAGTCTTTTCGCCTGCCGCGCTGAGGTGCTATTCTATTGGTGGGTCCCAGACTCCACCTTCATCCAGATGCAACCGCACCAGGCAGCTGTGAGATGGTCTTCTTAGTCGTTCGCACTGGGGCACTGGGGCAGGATGGCATTGCGAAAAATCCTGGAAACACGTCAATCTACTAGAGATTCAAGTATTTTGCTGGGTGTGAAGAGGTTGGATGATGCGTGAAGTTGTCAGATACCTAGCAATTGTGCAAGATTCCGTGAAAATCTACCAGCTACATGGGCTATGGGGTAATAACCTAAGCAGTTCCACTATCGAACACCTCAATGTTACAGTGATGGGCCTGCATCCAAGTTTTCAATATATACTAATTATGACACCCCCTAATTTTACGGTAATTTTACCATAAGTGTGTCTGAAAAGGAGGGATAGCCACCATATATGGCAATATTATGCAATATTGTGATACAGGGAGAAGATTGGGATAGTGATAATAATAAGCCATCATGTTCTAAAAGAATCGCATTACATTACAAGGACCCCATCGACCTCACGATGATTGGGCTCTGGTGATGTTCTATGAAGGATGACCCCCCAAAAAACACCACAACTGCTGTGCCAGGTACATTTCCCTCGGCATAATCCAAAAGAGTGGGCCCTTGGAGATAAGAAGACCTCTTTGGCAACTTGGTTGGAACTTGGGAATTCAGAACTTACCCTCTGGTAAACTAACAGTTTGCTATTGAAAATGGCCATAGAAATAGTGAGTTTTCCTATTAAAAATGGTGATTTTCCATAGTTTTTTGTATGTTTACCAGAGGGTAAGGTCGCAATTGTCGATCCTGACAGCTTGGGAATCGGACAGTACCCAGCTCCGGGGCTGGAATTTTTGCCAGTTCGATAGCTTTCTCATTGAAATGTCCGTGGAAGCAGTGGATTTCCCAGCTAGCCATGTTTGATTTTACCGGAGAGTGAATGGAACCATTTTTTTGGGTGAATTGAAGGACTCGAATGATTTCTGGATTTTCGTTTCTGTGCAGATTTTTTTTTTGGGATGAGTTCCAAAATTGTATTTTTCGAAACAAAAAGATGAGTCACCAACCCACCATGAGATTTTGGGGTACCAAATTTTGGCAAAGCCACAGAAGGCTTCTTGGATTCTCCAAGTTGGAGATTTGGAAGTTTGGAGCCAGGTTCATCTATTGAATCACAGTAGCTGGTAAACAACTTGGAGGATCCTCCCAGATCGCAACTGGTTAGTAGACGTGCAAACCATTTTTTTCGGGATAAAATCGGATATATATATATATATCTGGTTGGTGGTTTGGAACATTTTTTATTGTCCATTTCATATATGGGATAATCCTTCCCATTGACTAATATTTTTCAGAGGGGCAGGTCAACCACCAACCAGTGTATATATATATATATAAACATGGCTACTTATGGATTAATGGATATATAACCTACTTATGGACTAAACACGTCTGGATTAAACATGGCTACTTCTGGGACTGGGTCTAATAGGGGCCCCAGTAAAAAACGACAGGATCTGTGGGATGATCCGAGAAATGTCCCATGAGAAGCATTGATTGATGACAAAACCACTGGTTTTGGGGGTTACCCTCTGGTAAATTAACAGTTGGATCCTGAAAATAGCCTAGTTTTAATGGAAACTAATCTTCCAACCCAGAGGTAACTAATCTGCCAGGGTCTATGTTAATTTACCAGAGGGTAACTAATATGGAACCACTGGTTTTTGGGGGCTGGCTTGGAGTTCCTGGTTGATGATGATATTAGGGGATTATAATATGATGATCATAGGATATTATACCCCCGGATAAACAAACAGTTTGCTATTGACAATGGATATTTATAGTGGATTTACCCATTGAAAATGGTGATTTTCCATCGTTATGTAAACGTTTACCAGAGGGTAACTAATATGGAACCAATATGGTTAACCAATATTGTCAATGATTTTGGGGATTCCATATTGGAAAGGTCCGCAAGAGTGATACTGTAGTCATGGTCCTTGGTTCGACCTGAAAAAATGAGGGGACATCCATTGAAAAATGCTTGCTTCCCTGATCCAACTCCCATGTCAGAGTCCCCTGTGTTCAGGGAATTTCATACATCCTGGATTAAAAATATAGTACATACACAAAGATATCATTTTGGGCCAACTTTTTCTAGTGCATTTGTGGTATACACATGTATACACATCATGTGTAATGTGGTGTATGGTATCTTTCTGGTTTATATAGCGTGTTGTATTCTGGTAATTCTTGCCCAACATATTAAATTCCCGCAAAGTGGCCCCAAAATGAATAGACTAAATACTAAACCATGGCTTCATTTGATATGGGTCCCCACAGGTCGTTCATGATGTGTAGATTTATTATAATATAATATAATGTATATAATATATCCCAGGTACCTTGTTGCTTGTTTTGGAGGGGGGACCTACGAAAAAAACAAAAATATTTCAGCAATTTATGTATATATATATATATATTTATATTTTTATATTGTTATATTATATTATAACATATTATATTCTAACATATATTAATAAAATATAATAATATTTTCTGGGATAGTCATCCAATTTGATGGGGCTTAATGGGGCTTATTTGATGTTGTGCGCCTGTCCGGCGCCCGCTGCAGGTTCCAGGGGATAGTGAACCTTGAAACATTTGGACATGCATTGACCCGGACACCACAAAACATCACAAAACTCCTACTTGGACATCATTGGACATCAAGAGGACCAACTTGGAATATGTTTTATTTTAATCTATTTTACATATGGCAAGTTGAGCCCTAAGATAGATCAATATATATCAATATCGCTGAATCAAAAGGAACCAATGACATGCAACGTGTGACATGCAAAAGCCTGGAGAGCAGCCATGAGCAGCCATGGGCTGGCTGGTGACGAAGAAGTGTAGCTGGAGCAGCACTCGCGTGGACTGCGGTTTGTGCTGCATTCAGCGCAAAGAGAGCAAGAGCAGAGATTCTTTTCATGCCTTCATGTCTTCATGTCATTCTAATTCATTCTATGCTTGGAAGATTTTCCCAGAAATGTCCAAAATGCGCAGTCTCAGATGATCATGATGCATGGCTGGTGTCAGTCAGAACACCGCCTCACAACCAGAATCCCAACATATCAAAGCCCCTGCCACTGAGACTACTGGCATCATCCCGCGCATAAGAAGACCTTAGATTCGTGGGCCGAAGGGAACAATGTGGCGAAGAACTTGGGCCTGCCATCGCCACCTTCTCGCGCTGATGTTGCATCTTGGATCTCATGGTTTTCCACTTGAGCAGACGTGAGCAGGTAGGTCCAAACGTACGCATTTTTTAGTTCCTTGAAAATATGACAGCATGGGATCATAGGGCTACGTTAGAAGTACATGTAAAATCATGTGTAATCATGTACGGTAGAGGTACGGTAGAGGTACGGTATAGAGTTTTCTTTCTCTACCGTACCTCTACCGTACCTCTACCAGCACCTGCATCGTAGCTCTACAGTATACCCCTGCAATATGAAGCATTATCAAGCATTATGAAGCAATGCCATGGGCCAAAGGGCTTGAAGTGTGGCGTGTGCAGTTCAGAAGTTGTGGCAGATATGGCAGGTACCCAAATCTATCCATAAATCATTATAAAATATCATAAATCTACCCATATCCAAGCACTTGCTGGAGTCATATCGAATGACTGCTTCCGAAGAGAGTCTCCTGGCTTCACGGCTTCACCCCCAACTGCGGCGCAGGATGGAAGTGGAGTTTTGGAACCTCCAGAGTCCTTTGCTGAGGGACTCTTCATGCTGCAGTGACAAGATGTGATTAGATTGCGAATCGTTTTTGTTGCCGAACTTCTGAGTGTCTTCTGAGTGACAAGATGCTACTGCTACTACTACTACCACCACCACCACTACTACTACTACTATTACTACTACTACTACTACTACTACTATGTGCTACTGCTACTACTGCTACTAGTACTGCTAGTACTAGTACTACTGCAACTACTAGTACTGCTACTTCGACTATTATTCCTACTACTACTACTACTACTATTACTACTACTACTACTACCACCACCACCACCACCACTACTACTATGTGCTACTGCTACTACTGCTACTAGTACTGCTAGTACTAGTACTACTGCAACTACTAGTACTGCTACTTCGACTATTATTACTACTACTACTACTAGTAGTAGTAGTAGTAGTAGCAGCAGGAGTAGTAGTAGGAGTAGGAGTAGGAGTAGGAGTAGTAGTAGGAGTAGTAGTAGTAGTAGTAGTACTAATGCAATTACTAACTACTACTGCTGCTACTACTACTGCTGCTACTACAGCTCGTACTGCTTCTTTGCGTTCTGCTACGAGTAGTACTACGTGTTTAAATTCAGTCACAGGAAGAAGTATGTTTATTACTGTACCGTTTTGTTTTTGCATGCACCTGCGTGCAATCCCACCAACCTGCAGCTTTGCGCATTTGACAGGTGGCTAGTGGTGCAATGGCGGACCCCGCTATGATCTCATCGGACGTTGCCTGGTTGCAGAATGTGTATGGTGACATCGCCCATGGAAGACACATGTGAACGCAGTGAAACACCAGGCAAGATGACCAGGTTTTCGATTTGCATTCTTATGTGTAGTATTCGCATTTCTTCCCAGCCCTCAACATAATTCAACATCTGTGTACTTGCATTTTATGAGTACTGAGGCTCCAATGCTGGAAGACATGGCCCTCATGGCACCAGTGGACTCCCAGGCAAGGCTCCGTTCGCCATTGCACTATGTGCTCAACGAAAGGTAGAGTTGGGTGAAGGGAGGTGAGACACAGCAGCCATTTTTTCAGCGGGTTGGCAAGGCTGCTTCCGTATATGTAAGCCTTTAGTAAACTGACAACACAGTCCACGGCCGTACATGGCCGTACGACAGCTGAAGTGCCATACAGAGAAAGGTTTGGAACGCTCCCATCAAGAAATAGGCAACACCATATAGCACTACCGGAATGGAAGCCCCAAAACTGAAACCCAGACAGTCACCATGGCACAAGAACCACAAGGAGCACAAAACATCACAAAACTAGCATCATGGCCCCACCATGATTTGAACCCGGGTTGTTTTACCATGTTTTACCCCCTCCCCCCCCACAATGTGACTTTGGGAAAGGATGGGAAGGGGATGGAGTTACCCGCGCTTATGGGTGCCGTCCGTAAGAACGGGTAATTGTTTGGTAGAGCGGGTGGAGCCAATTTTAAAGGGAAATCTATACATACGGCTGCCCTACCCGCGGCAGTGAACGCTTACCCGCGCTTATGCGTGCCGTCCATAAGGGCGGGTAATCCTGGGGTGCCAGATCTGTCCATCCAACTGTATACCAACTAAAGTACACTAACATACACCAGGATTACCAGCTCTTATGGACGGCACGCATAAGCGCGGGTAAGCGTTCACTGCCGCGGATAGGGCAGCCGTATGTATAGATTTCCCTTTAAAATTGGCTCCACCCGCTCTACCAAACAATTACCCGTTCTTACGGACGGCACCCATAAGCGCGGGTAACTCCATCCCCTTCCCATCCTTTCCCAAAGTCACATTGTGGGGGGGAAGGGGTAAAACATGGTAAAACAACCCGGGTTCAAATCATGGTGGGGCCATGATGCTAGTTTTGTGATGTTTTGTGCTCCTTGTGGTTCTTGTGCCATGGTGACTGTCTGGGTTTCTGGCTTGGAGCGTTCCAAACCTTTCTCTGTATGGCACTTCAGCTGTCGTACGGCCATGTACGGCCGTGGACTGTGTTGTCAGTTTACTAAAGGCTTACATATACGGACGCAGCCTTGCCAACCCGCTGAAAAGATCTCACCTCCCTTCACTCAACTCTACCTTTCGTTCATCCCTGGTTGCCCTCAAGTTTCCTGGGGTCTTTCGTCACGCTAGGGTGCAACATCATACGTGAGGATTCCAACAGTGTGGGTACATGTGATCACACAATATATCACAATATCACATTGTTTGGCCAGCCTTGGAAACGTTAAACGCCGCCAGCAGCCTGCCAGGTGGATGCGTCTGAGTACCGGGCCTTTGCAGAGCATGTGCACGTGATGGATGTGAATGGTCCTCAAGCTGAGGGCTACTACAAGTGGCTGAAGGAACTCGTTCTTGATCAGGCCAATTCCTCTGAAGCTGAAGTCATTCGCCTGGACCAAGTGACTTGTGACCTTTCTCCTGGTGACGGACGGTGGCGTTGGGTCACACGAGAAACGATCCTGCACAAGTTCGAGCTATGGTCGGCTGGTGGGGCAAACTGGGGACCAACAATCCAGCTCTGTGGATCAGCCCCTTATAGCATTTGCATTGGGCACCAGAGGATTGGGAGCCTCCACTGCTACATGCAATGGTGTTTCTTGGCGAAACATGGCGAAACCATATCCACCCAACGTGATGTGACCTGGAATATTCACGGTCGCTTCGCGACGAAAACCGCCCGCACCAAGTGTAATGGATAACATTCACATATGTTGGAGGATGTTTGGCCATGTTGAACCTTTTTTTAGCACTTATTGGGCACTTTTTAGCTCCGTATGAGGCTATCTTGGCCCCATATGAGGATATGTTGGCACCATTTGAGGCTATGTGAGCCTATCTTAGGCTCATGTTGGGCCTATGTTGGGCCTATCTTGACCCATTTTTGGCCTATATTGGCCCAGATCAAGAATTTTGACCCCTTTTGAAAAACATGCAAAAACACAGGGTTCTAGAGCAAAAATGCCCCCCCCAAGCTAAAGCTTATTAGCTATAATGCAAGTGCTAACGGTTCACGCAGGCACACAAAAAGCGCCTCGGCACCTTCGGTGCTGAGCTTGGCTTCTGTTCAGCCAGACATGAAATGATGCTGTTTCTATTCTAGTTTATGAGAAACCTTCCATGTCCAATGCATCCATGGGCGTGTCAGGCTACTTGACTCAGCGCACCCCTGCAGATTGGGCGAAAACCATGGCCAAGGCAATCCCTTGCAAGCTGGAGTCTTTGCAGCCAAAGCAGGCAGCAATGAGAGGCCTCAAGGAGAGTGTGCAGACTCAGGCATCATCCACAGGCTGGAATCCCTACTCTTTGGTGACCATGCAGCGAAGTCATTCAATGTCCGTGGAGGAGTTCAAAAAGGAAGTCAAGGCATTGATGCCACAGCATGCAAGCAACACAGCCCCTTGGCCACAAGTATCTGAAGGGATACCACATGATACGACATCACACCACATCCCGTGTCATCCGGTATGACAAAATCGTGACTTCATGATCTGCAGAAATTGGTTAACCCAGGCTGAAGTAAGATGATGTAAGCTCCAAACATAAGATTTTGCACCAACGAATTCATGTGATCATGTGTGCATTAGCAATGGAATTGACGCTGGAAAGACATCCCAAAGTCATTCAAAAAAGCTTGCAGCTTTTGATTTCTTATTGGCAATGGATTGCCTTTGCTCATTGCATCTCATTGCTGAGACGTTGAAGCCTGTTGAAATACAATGAAACACATCGCCAAGGAGCTTTTTCCCTGGGACGTTCTGTGCCACTTTGCACGCAATCGAGTGTCCGATGATGTACTCCGTATCCCTGCTCCTGGCACCCAGCTTGCCCAACAGGCAGCTTCCTGGACCAGAAGCTTCACAGCAACGTGTGAAGACGTTTGCGGCAGATGTTGACAGCGCTGCCTTGCTCTTTTTGCGACTGACTGCATAGGAGCTGGGCCGTGTTTTTCTATGTTTTTCTCAGTCAATCTCACTCATCGAATACCACCAGGGCAGCCAATGATGTGCCATGATACATCATATTACATCATGATATTTCCGAACAGCTCAGATGCACGATGACGCATGGCAGCTCATCAGTTTTTAAAATTTCCAAGATGGGCGTGGCAACAAGCTGCCCATGTGGGGACATTGTGGGGTCTCTTGGGGGTCTTTCCGAAGAAGGATAAAAGCTGAGCCAGATGAGACATGATCATGTCACGCTTGAGTGCAGGTCTTGAGTATTATGTCATGACTAATTCCTATCCCAAGTATGTTATTGTCAAATATTGTCAATGAATAAGTAATATCAATTAATACCTGGAAAATCAGTTTCGTTTACCAACAAGCCATGGCATGGGGTGCTAGCTGTTCATTTTGGCCAGGGTTGAGTTTACTAGGCAGCTGTTGAAGCATGAGTTTCTATTACAGTTCATTGACATGTGAGCCATGAAAAATACCTTGTTCATCCTTTTTACCATGGATTTCACTATAAGTTCTGGATGCCGGAAGAATGATTTAGAGGGGGGGGACCTAGAAAAGACTTTTTTCACTAGGTCCCCCTAGCATAAAGTATAGTGATTATAATATAATATCATATAGTTTATATTATATAATATTATATCATATATTATATTATATATTATATATTATATATTATTTATTTTATATTATATATTATATATTATATATGAGCTACAGCCAAAATTTAAGTTATTGGATAGTAGTATTCGAGACATCTTTATTTTAGCTGGGGCTTGGAAAACGATAATACACTCTTCAAAAAACGAGAACACTTGCTTATATACCAAAACCTGAAAAACGATAATGCACTCTTCAAAATTGATGACTTGGGGCTATATACCAAATATTGACCGTGGCCCATATAATATAATATAATATATTCTACGTATATATATATATATATAAGTGTACATATTACAGTACATGTGTGCGATATTTTCTGCTCTACACCTGGTCTTTCCCTAAAGTCCCCAAAAAAACTCCTTGTCGTCAAGGCGACCAGCGACATCTCCAACATGGTCAGTGCTGATTTGGCAGCCAAGGTGGAGCGACTGAAATGAACATCAACCAACAATAATATGGGTAAAACAAGTGCCATAAATCATCCCCCAGTCATCACCATGTGTCATCACATTAATGGGAATCCACTCGGGATCTTTGATGTGAAAATTCAGCACGATTCATTTATCGCTTGGGATTCATTCTTGGATCTACTTTGGGGGTGATTTTGATGAGTTATAACTTAGTTATAAGTTAGTTATAGCTTAATTATAACTTGTAAGTTGTATTATTCTATGCTGATACTCTCCATAAGTTGGAAAAAGTTAGGTGCCTACCCGGCCTCCTTTGTGTCAGCTTGGCTGGGAATGCTGTTGAGATGTTGAGATTGAACAAAAACATGGATAGATAGTGGACATAAATGGAAAATGATATATAATGATATATAATGATATATATATATAAGGATATATATATATAATGATATATATATATAATGATATTTAATGATTCATTAAATTCTGTGACCGCGGATGTCACTGGAGTCATGGTTAGCCTGTCATGGCGAACTATCGCCATGACAGGCCTTCAGAAACTTCAGGTGAATTGTGATGAAATGATTCCTCCGGCGTCATCCAACATGGGGGTAAAATATGGTAAAATGCTACTCTAGGTTGTGGAAGTCAAAGCGTTTCAATGAAATGTGCGTCCTAGGTGGGGGAGAAATTTCTGGAAGTCGGTGCGATGTTGCGTCCAGTTGGTGTTTAGCATGTTTGTGTTTTCTAAAATTGATGGTTTATCGTGAGTTTTTCATGGATACCATGCAGATGGTTGTAGCTATTCCCTTTGTCTCCTTTTCTGTCTCCTTGCTCTTGCCTGCAGCTGCTGCTTGGCTTGGTTTCCTCTTCTGCTCCACCGCTGAAAGCTCTTGAGTTTTTCTGTTCTGAAAAGAATGCGAAAGCGTGTGGCTACCAAAGAGTTTGTCAGGAGACTTAGGGGGTCAGTCGCCCAAAATTTGATTTCGGACCTCGTTCGCACCTCGTTTGGACCTCGTTAAAATTGCAGCCAGTCAAAGCCCAGCCCGGAGAGGTTTTGGAAAGACTTTGCAATGGTTTGCTGCTTGGTCTGCTGCTGCTGCTGTTGTTGCTGTTGTTGCTTGTGTTGCTGCTTCTGGGCAACTGACAGAATCCCTGGGTACTCAATTGTCAGGAAGGGCACCCAATTGGTGCTTCCAAAATGGGAGCCCCGAGGCACTGCAATGGATGTGCAGAGGGGGAAAATAAAAAGAAAACTGACAGTTGCTATGGTAGCAAAGCCAGGAGTAAGAGGCAGAAGGCCAACCAGACAACACGACGTTTAACGAGGTGAAGCTGGCTGCCCTGCCAAAAAAAAGACCCGAGCCAAGGTGGAAGGGTTCTAATCACGAAGCTGGACGGGAAAAAATCACGCCAATGTGAAACCGGCAGGCATCATCATCGTCATTTGTCTCTATGGCTCTCCGGGCTTTGGGGTGTGATGAGAAACCTAGGTGTCAAAGTCGAAAAGGTCAAGGCTCAGCCAAGGATGGCGCAGTGTCAGATGACTCAGCGAGCCGTCGGAGGACGGCCCGCGCGTTCTCACGTTGCAGGGCAACAGACAAAGCTTGGAAAAGCTGTTCTGCCCCATCACTCGCAGACATCCCAAGTCGAGAAGCGTGCAAAGCGCCCAGTTGTCGGAAGGTGGCAACGGCGGTCGGGCCCCACCCGCCGCCGCAGGCTTCAACCACCAGCGGGATGAACTGTAAGCCTTGTCCAGCACACAGCTGGTCAGTATTGTGGTGGGTCTTTTTGCGGATCTCGTAGTTCGCAGCTGCCGAAGCCCCATCTCCGCTTCTGGGCAAGGCGCGGTTTTTGAGCAGAGAACCAAGAGATCTGTGAAAGGGCTGGAAGCCAAAAGCATAAGAAGATGACCTGAACAAAGAAAGTCGATCCGATCAGCGGTGTGCCATGGGGAAGTGGATGAAAGGGTGTGCCATGCGGCTGGCGTATGTTCTAGCAAATGGCGTAGGATCACGCCAGGGCTCGTATTTGGTTTGATACTTGTGACATCCAAATGCAGTGGCATGCTTAGCCACCAGAAACATTCCTTCAGATTATTATTCAGACATATTTGGGATTCATGTGTGGAGAAGCGTCCACATGGTGTTTAACACCCGTGTATATATATACATATATATTTAAGATTGCGGGACAAAACTATGCACACGCGTCCTGATGGGGAGTTGGAAAATTTGGCAATAGAAAAGTGCACTGCCAGGGATCTAAAAATAACACTTCTACATAGTGCGTCCCATGGTGTTTTAGACCTGGTTGCATTGACTTGTTTGACTTCCTGGGGATTTCCAGCGTTTGATGAAACCAAAGGGTAAGTCTGGGCTGCTTGTGCTTTTCGCCTTGTCATCAAATTGGGATGGGAATGCGCTGGGAATATGATGGGAATATCATCGTTTTTTTTTCGAGCGAGTTGGATGAAAAAAAATATAGGAATTCAATACCATCCTTTTTTGGACATGATTTCACCCGCAAAAAATATAGTAATATAAGTGACAAATGATGGTTTCAGTCTGTATTTGGCGGGTTTGAAGACTGGGGTGCACCATAGCCCCATTTTACGGCAATTCCATTGGGAAAATAGTGGTTAATCATGGTTAATCAATGGATCATGGGGTAAAATATTTTCACATAAAGATGGTTCGACAATTATACCAACCAAACATGGGATATAACTCCATGAAGTTGATTTGTGCGGATATGCACATTATAATCAATCATCTACGAAAAAACATGAAGATGGCGATGAGAACATGATGATTAATATGGCCCTAATAATCCATTCCGTTTCTTTTCTGTATTCGCACAAGGTAAAGTCATTGGGGAACCTTGGGGTATGGTTTATTGTTCTGGATTTACCACAACAAGTGAATCCAAACCCCAAAGTGGTGGATTTTTTTTAAAATGCAGTTTGCCTAAAGGTGGATGGGATTCCAAATGGTTTACCATCATTTTGGAATGTTAACACTAAACATCATCAGACATTGAAATGACCCAGAAAGAATTTCACATAATTGCTTGATATTTTTTGATATTTTTGGGTCCTGTTAACTAAGCAAAATCCTCTTTGAGGTACCTCATTGTTGACCACAAAATGACCCGCATCATCACATGTCCAATTTTTGTTTACCTTATCCCATCAATTCTGGGCCGAAAAAAGAGAAGCACTCAATGGATAGTGAAAAATCCATATTTCCGGGCCTAATAAATATCACATAAAACTTCCCGAAAGTTTCTGAGTTTCTGGATTGCGACTGTGCCAGGCTAACTCTCCCAACTATCCCCAATTCCAATGGCTTAGAACCTCATTTTCCCAAAAAATATCCATTGCATTCCATTGCTATTTGGGAGTATACTACTAATTTTCCCTTTTAATCCATGATGCCATGGCTGTTTGTACTAGACCTCTCAAGGGTTGAGATGACTGCAAGGTTTCCCGATAGTTTGGATTCTTTTTGGCACAATGATGAACATGATGTGCCCGACTGCTTTAAGACGGAGTCAAAGTTCAATTGAACTCCTGTCAACTTAAACTTCCACAAAAGTTGCTGCCCACACGCATGGGTATTTTACCCTGATTTACTTTAACCCCATTGGCCCATGTCTGTGCCTATCCTTAAACTCCCTGTTGAGGCCCCTAAAGTGCGCTCCTTCATGTCCAGTGTCAGGTGGGTCATGACCGGCCGGACACTGTGAGCAGACCATTTTTCCACATTTTCCACCAACCGGCAACTGGTGGACCGAGCTTTAAATGGCCAACTAGATTGGTCCCATGTTTTTTCTCTGAACCTTCAAACATCACTATCATCACTGCAATATCTCCTTTGCAAGGTCACCAACAATCCCCGTTGCTCCCCATTCTCCCGTTGAAATGACCTTGAATTCGTGGATGGATTTTAGGGACACAAAAAATGAGCCGCGAAGTCACTCCAGTTTCAGAAATGGTCACAGTCAGGTATACATAGAAAAATGAATATATATATATGATATAATATAAATATATATAATAATATATATAATATATATATATATAATATAATATATAAAATAATATATATAATATAAAATAGAATATAATATAATATAGAATCAATATAATATAATATAATATATAATATAAATTATATAATAGAATATATATATATATTTTATAATATATATTATAATATATATAATATAGTATGTATATAATATAATGATATATAATATAGTATATATATAATATAGTATATATAATATAATATATATAATAATATATGTATTTAATATGATATATATATACAATAATATATATATATATATAATATAATATATGTATAATATCATATATATATAACATAATATATATATATATATATTAAATAATATAAATAATAAATATATTATCATTCAATTCTATTATTCTATTTCTATACGCATTTATCAAGGCCATTTTTGTCGGTAAATGTTAGGTGAGGTTTTTAGGTCTTGCGCCCGTGACGACAAGCCATGGCAGGTTCAGTCTTCTGGAAGTCCAAGACATGCTGCTTGCCTTGGGAGCCTTGGGAGGGACTTGCCATGGGCCCAACATGGAGTTCTGCACGTTTTGTGCAGTGAACAATGTGGTGAACTTTTTGTGGATAGATGTCACCGAAAAAACATCGTTAAAGCTATAGGCATAGGGGGTCCTATATCCTAACATGGGGGTTTATGACAAGTCTACACCATGATTGAAATCAGTAAGTCAGTTTCCAAGAGTTTTCCCAGATTTTCTTGGAGTCTGGCCCAAAATTTGGTGACAGGTTGCTGCAGATCAGTATGGGCAGCAGCAATTATGATGTGGCGTGCAAGTGGATCCAGGAGTCCGGTGGTTCGCAAGTTATTTAGTTGTGGCATTCTCTATGCAAATGCAGGGAAATGAGCATGATGATGATGATGATGATGGTGATGGTGATGACGATGACGATGATGATGGTGGTGGTGGTTGTGATGGTGGTGGTGGTTGTGATGGTGATGGTGAGGGTCACATTGACGGTCACGACGATGATGATGATGATGATGATGGTGGTGATGGTGATGGTGACGGTGACGGTGACGATGTTGGTGACACTGATGATTATGATTGTGATGATGATGATGATGATGATGATGATGTTGGTGACACTGATGATTATGATTGTGATGATGATGATGATGATGATGATGATGATGATGATGAAGGTTGCGGTGCCGGTGACGGTGATTTTGGTGGTGGTGGTGGTGATGCTGATGCTGATGCTGATGCTGCTGATGGTGATGATGGTGATGCTGATGCTACTGATGGTGATGATGATGGTGATGCTGATGCTGCTGATGATGATGATGATGAGTATGCATATTTTATATTTACATTATGTGGGTACGGGTATGTTTTTTGTTGGATGGGTTCAAAGTCTTAAACGGCACAGAAGTAGAGGCACCTCGAATCATACCCCGAGTCTTACGCCCAAATATACACATCCAATCACATTAAATTTGAATTGATGAGGTAGGTTTGACGAGGCGTTATGAGGATGAACTGAGATGAACCGGCCCACCAAGCACCAGCGACTCAGCGACGAGCTCGGCTCTGAGTCCTAGCAAAGAATCATCTGGAATCCGTATCTGTAGTCCTATTGAAAGCACGTTGGGCTAGGTCATGGGTAGATATCCACACTTTTTCGCGTTTGCACATTCTTTGTGTGGCTCGGAACGACGAACACCAGCATTCACGAGCCGGAAAGATCTGGTTTGTCTCGCACGAATACCATGGTCAGAAGGTCAGAACTCAGGGCCATTTACATCCATTTACCATCCCAAAAAAGATAGAAATGTTTTTTTTTCTTCTCTCTCTCTCTCTTTCTGTATATATACGTATGTATATAATTAATTAATTATATATATATGCATAGTGAAAACTCATATATCTCTATCTTGGTAGGGGTAAGCTATATATAGCCACTTTAAGGCGAAACCTACCTGGCCAGGACAATGAAGCTATTTGGTCACAGTGGGTTCCCGTGGATACCAACTGCCAGGAAGGCTTCGGCATGGTGGATGCTTCAGATTCTCGGCCCAAGGATGATCGGTTTATCAAAAAAAAAAGTGGTAAAGAAACTCGATGTCAACAAAAAACCCGAATTTTCTTGGTAGCTTTGGATTGCATTTGGGTGAATCCCACAGATGGACAGTAGCGTGTAGGGTCATTTTGGGTCATTGGGTAGCAAAAGCGGCAGCTTTTATCTCCGATGAAGTTGGATTCCCATGGTGGGTGGACCATGGAAGAATGTGGCTGGGACTATCTCCCTGTCCGCAGCATCATCGGTGAAGACTGGACAGTCATGGCATGTTGATACCTCTGAAAAGCTGTGCAAAACTGTATCATAGCCATTTACCTTAGACATCCTTAGACTCTCCTGCGACCATCATGGACTTGTCAGACTGACATGGAAAAGCTGAGGGCCACTTCGTTGAGAACCGCAGCGATGCCGTGGCATGTAACATTTGCAGCGCTGGAACCTACTCGAAAGAGATCAAGGACGATGGCCTCGGTAAGACATTTCAATGTTCGCTCTGTCTGCCTGGATATAGTCACTTGGATCACTCACGAGTTTTTTTATGGCCCTTCACCACCTTCGTGTCGATGTAGATTTAACATGATTTATATGGGTATGGATCAATACCTATTAATACCATTTTTAATGGGATGAACATCCATTTACCAGCTATTTTGATGTTCACCAGGGGTACAAGGTTTTGACGCACTGCCATATAACAGTGTTGTAAGGAAACAGTGATGCCAAATCCGCTAATTTTTTCTTTGACCATAAATGGTGATGGAATGCTTTGAAATGCCCATCAGCAGATTTTTTTTCCGGTTGGCAGGGCATCAAAGATTGGCCATGTCAACCCATTGACCTTGCGGCAGAGAAGGACAGAGATTATGAATGGGTAAATCCACCGTATTTTTTGGGAAAATATGGGAAAACCATCTATTTTTTTTGGGGGAAAATGACAACATCACACCATTAATTATGGAAACATCGCCCCATGTCCAATTTATCATGGGAAGAATCATCCAGCAATGAAATTCAAGTGCCAGACGGACCAAGGTCAAGAGAACACCTATTCGACCAAATGCGAAGCTGGGCGATGGTTTCAGCCATGGTCTGCCGAAAAAACTTGGGCTGTTTCTGGCCAAAACATGTAGTTTTGTTTCCTAAAATGTGTGTATCCCAAATCATGGAAATCATGATATAGACCATTTTAGATCATCTTACTGGTTGGTGGTTTGGAACATTTTTTATTGTCCATAATATATGGGATAATCCTTCCCATTGACGAACTCATATTTTTCAGAGGGGTAGGTCAACCACCAAGCAGTTTAGTATTGAATTCCATGGTGACTTGGGGATCACCCATTGAAAGCTCCAGAAATGGCTGCTGTGGCTGATTGGAAGGTCCTTCGATGGGTGGCTCAACCACCAGGATTGAATCGCTTTGACTTCCGAAAAGTTTATGTCTTTTGGAACCCAGAAGCAAAATGGTTGGATTTCCTCTGTCATCTGATTTTTCTCGGCCTGTCTAATCCACTTTGACACCTGGCTGGTTTGCTTCATGTGAGATCTCCCAAGTCTTCCTGGCCACAAGGAACCATGTGCGAGGGGCATGGTGAGTAACAAGTTTGGCAGCACATCGTGTGTTCCCTGTGGCGTGGGGGAGTATCAGCCTCTACAGGCAGGGAATGTTGCTCCATTAGTTGCTCTTGATGTTCCCTATGGAGAGAAGAAACAGATTAACCCATTAGATACTTGGATGTTTCGTGTTTCGTGTGGTTTCACAGACTGCTGAGCTACAAGAAGCTTTTTTCCTTGAAGATTTCATAGAAATTACTGGCCTCAGATATGGTCTCTCAGTTTGCAAACCCTCCAAACCATCGCCTTCATCGCAGATTTTGTGCATTTGGACTCCTGAGAAAAGCGAGCTATGCATGTCAGCTGGGTGTTGCAGAAACATGTGACTTGTATTTATCCGATCTCTCATTTTTTATTTTCAGGGATGGAACTAACATGAACTAACATGAACTAACCATTCCCATCATTTTTTCCTGGATGTGTTCTTATCTTGGTAGGCTTTTTTTTTCCGGCTTCAGATTGACAAGCTTCGGTTGGACGTGGGTGTTCAGCCGCCAATATCATATCTGAAGATAATCCCATGGTATATCTCTAGTATGATTGGATGTCTTCATGTTTGACTATCCCTTTTGTCCCTATTTTAATCCCTCCAACGAAAAAATGGACTTATATGGACTTGCCAAAAAAATTGAGGGTTGGAAGACACCAAGCTGAATGGTCTAAAAATGGGTGATTCTCAGGATCTGTGTTAATTTCGGGGAATGGTACAAGCTGGTGCCCCCTAGCTATGGTTGTAGTTCGGCACTTGGTAGTTCGCCGATTGCAGGAATCGCAGGTGGGTAGTTCACCATCCATATCAAATATATTCAAATATCATAACTGGACATTTCCCCTTCTTACCCTACTGAATTCTATGGTTGTGTTGTGAACATTTCGCCACTGATGGGGTGAAGCATCAAGTAGCGCTAGCCGCCGTCGCGGGCAGGCGCAGCAAAGCTGTCTGGCCTGCAATCAGAGCCGCACCACTCAGCTCAGGGGGGCCACCAGCCCTCAGGATTTCATGGGAAACATCGAAACGAAGCATGCTGCGAACGCAAACTTCGAACGCAAGGGGGGTTTTTGGGAGTTGCTGGTGATGTTCAGGTGATGTTTTTGGAGATGTCTAAAGATGTCTAAAGATGTCTAAAGATGTCTTAAGATGTCAAAGGTTGAGCACATGTCATTTGCTGAAGCTCCATGGTTTCTTCGGTCGAAAAATGGTTCGACTCTAAAAAGATCTGCTTGGCTCGCAATTCTGGGGTGGAAAAATTACCAGCGTTTCTGTTCCCATTAAGACCTCCATGGGGGGATTTCCCCATTTTTGATGAAACCACAGGGGAAAACACATCATCATGATGGTCATCACTCTCATCGTTGTAAATCACGGTGCATATTTCTTTGTTTTAGAATGAACCAAACTTAATTATGATTCTAATTGGTAGTTTCTTTGCGAACAGCAACAGTAATCAGCATACTTGTCCAGTCATCAACGATTACTTGTGATAAATCAAGGACACCGGTTTTACCTAATCATCATATGTTGATGATTTCATTTTTTTCTAAAATTCAAGGTTTACATCATAAATGACCACATGAAAAACCTTGAACCTTTCCATGTGGTAAACCCCGGTGCAGCTCTGGCGGCAGGATTGCGTGTGCAAGATGGATTTCATTGAGGAAATCATGGAGGGATTCGGTAAAGCATCATGGGGATCTATGCGGATCTATGGGGATCTATGGGGATCTATGGATATATATATGGGGATTATAATTACTATGTTAATCATGTATCAAACTATGATTCAGTATACTACATGATACCAGCTAATTTGATGGACATATATATATGGATATATATATGGAACATATATGGGGATTATGATACAGTAACCATTACATTAACCCATAGTAACCCATCATTTTCACGGGATACCTGTTAGCCAACCATCTTTTTGGGGGGCTGCGGGGCCCGGAGGTATAACTTTCATGGTTCAACATCTCCAGCGTGGATCCAAAAAGTGTCTGTGGCTCCTTTTCCATGGTAGACCCCTTAGTCACTACCCTCTGGTTATTTAACATAGCCATGCAAAATGGCCCATTTATAGATGGTTTACCTAATAAAAATGGTGATTTTCCATGGCTATGTTAAATAACCAGATGGTACTGTTAAATTGCTACTTTGGGGGTATACCCCATGTTCAGACACACCCAAATCACTACATCAAATTGCTTCTATACCCCATCATGGTTGTTTTTATAAATGCCCCTATATCTGCATATCGAATGGGATTTATACCTAGATCGACATGTTCTTTTTTTTCATAGAATTGGTTGAAGGGAACAGTTACAGGAAACCCAGATCTTTATTTGATTATATTTGATGGTGAAAACAGGTAAAACCATGGTTTCCAGTAGTTTTTCCCCTAAAGCAATCCATTGATGCTCATTTTATTCGGACATTTGACAGGACATGGATCTTCAGTGCATCGCGTGTCGTGAAGGTGTTCTGTGCCCGCTGGGCAGCACGACGCTTGATCTGCTGGGTCCAGGAGGGTCAATTTCCCCATTGCTATGACTGCACATCCTACATCATTCTACTCCATATCCAGCAGCATTTCCCGAGAAAGCTTGGATGACTACCCATCTATTTTTTTGATGTAAAATGATTGCGGCGAATACGCATTTGGAACGAAATAGATGATATAATGATATAAAGCAGCTTTGCCCATTCCCAGGCATAGCATTCCAGAGAGGTGATCCATTGATCCATAGGCCATGCCACCAGTTGGAGGTTTCACGAACCGAAAAACTGGTGATTTCACAGGGCTGTCTGTTGGTGATGTTGGTGACGTCACATAGTCACATAGTCCCTTTCAACTTTCAACCAATACGGGTTGGTGGTTGGGAGAATTTTTTATTTTTCCATATATTGGGAACAATATTCCCAACTGACTTTCATATTTTTCAGAGGGGTTGAAACCACCAACCAGAATAGATTGGGGCGCGTAAGATGAATCATCAACATCCAGATGACACACGCATAGTTTCTCAAACCTGAAGCACATGTTGGTTAAAGCAACTAGATACACAACATCGTAATTCCCAAACTCATTGGCTAGGAAACCACGGAAAAATCATTGGGTTCCTGTCGCTGTCGCTTTCCTGCAGATTTTTCCCTTCCAACCCGCACTGGACACAAGGTGGTGCAACATAGTTAGAATCGCTAAGTTGGGCTTTACATAACTACAATTTCACCTTTGGGTTTATGATATACATAATGATACATACTATCATATATAATCCTGGTTGCAGTTTCCTCCCTAAAACCTTCGATTTTGTAGTGCCCGCTTGCACCCCTACTTTGCTACAAAATCAAGGACCATCGGCTGGCAAACACCCAAAAATCACCCATTTTGGGCTGCACCCCTGTCCGGTCCTGATTTTGTAGTCCATGGGGGCCCAAAGACTTTATGCTTTGGGAATGGGATTGATTTTGTTGAAAGAAGGCTGGCGACCTCCTAAGGTCTTTGATTCTGAAAAGGATAGTTCCCTGAAACCTCTGTTGTCCAACATGTATGGGTTTTTGATATTGTATAGGGAAGTCAGATGTGGAATTCAGATTCTTGATTCTGTAGTAATATCATTTCCATAAGACCGTTTTTCTTTGGATCCATCAGATCTTGATTCTGTAGTGGTGAGAGGTGAGAGGGGAGGACCTTGATTCTGTAAAGGATAGTTCCCCTGAAACCATTGTTGCCCAACATGTACTGTATGGGTTCTTGATTTTGTAGAGGGAAGTCAGATCTCTCCTGGAAACATGCTACAAAATCAAGAACCTTGTCACCAAAATTTGTGCAACTAATTTTTGAAGAAATTATGCTACAAAATCAAAGACAGGCACTTGGGACTTTGGCGGGACTTGTACAACTTGTAGACAAATTCATGCTACAAAATCAAGGACCAACAAGAAATCTCTGCAGAATCGACTCCAAAAAGAATCTCTACAGAATCAACCTGGACGTTTAAGTGATGATTTTTGATGCATCTAAAAGTTTTGATTCTGATTTTGTAGCACGTATGAATCTGCCTTGTCAGAATTTTCTACTGTGGAAGGTTCTTGATTTTGTAGAATGTAAGGCCCTACTCTGGAGAGCGGAGATTGATTTAGTAAAGAATTTTTAGGTACCTGACCTTGGGGGTCTTTACAGAATCAGGGATCCCAGCACCCCCCCCGAATTGCAAGGGGAATCATATATATATATTATATGTATATAATTACATTTGACATATATATATATATTATATTATATATATATATTATATATATATTATATATATATTATATGTAATAAAATATAATATAACATAATATAATATAATATAATAAATAATATAATATAATATAATATAATGTAATGTAATATAATATAATATAATATAATATAATATAATATAATATAATATATATATAATATATAATATATAATATATATATAATATGTACTGTAGTATTTCATGGGCTGAAGTTTACCAACTTAGCTGTCGTTTCTGGGGCACCTGGGTGAGGATGTCGAAGCTCTTGAACTCCAGCGGATCGACAGAAGAGCCGCGGATCCAGCTGGGCTACTCCAGCGAACCAACGGCACCGTTGGACACGTTCCTTGGCGGTTTTTTCCATGGGAATCCTGAGACCAAGATCTGGGATACTATGAGAGATTAGCATTATATATATATATATACACGTATGATATATACATATGATATATACAGCATATGATATATACATATGATAAATATACATATATATATATATATAGCCAGTCATAGGTCATATGGCCAGTAATAGGCCTGAGAACGGATGCCCAGGATGCCCACAACATCCCACAACACCGGCATAACACGATGATTTGGCAGTGAATTTCAGTGAGGTACCCGATTTTTAGACATGTTTTTCGAAACCAAATGACTGGGTGGGGTGATACCCTCTGGTAATTTAACATAGCTATTGAAAATGGCCATTTATAGTGAGTTTTCCCATTAAAAACTGTGATTTTCCATAGTTATGTTAGTTTACCAGAGGGTAAGCAGTGCCGTGCAAGTGGACCTTCTTTACTTCTAAGTGGATTTATCTTGTGATACCAGGAAGAAAGCCATGCAAGAATCTGTCGTTGCATACAGTAACAGATAGGGTCCGGGTGGTGTCACCACTTTTACCCAACAAATCATCAAAATGAATTCAAAAGAAAAACAATGACACAAAATCTAGAATGTGCTGTCATGTGGTATGTTTTCAGGATTTTATTGGTAGTTCCTACATAATTGTGGTCCTCAGAATTTTGGCTGCACCAACCATCACCTTTCTTCGAATAGAGCTTCTGGGGTCAGGGGACAGAATGACGGTGATGCGAAAGGAATTCCTCTCCTCTTCCAGGGTGGACCGTGGTGAATTCTTGGTGAATTTCTGGACATTTTAGGGAAATGGTATGGTAAACGGTAAACTGTTTCACCTCCCAAGTTTGTCTTTTCCAAAACGGAGAAATTTTATCGGACCGCACATTTGGGTTCTTCTTTCAGTGGATGCATTTAAGCCAGGGCCGTTCGGTTCACATCGAGTCTCTGGAAACCATTTGCTTCGATGTTCATGGTGAATCATCTTATTTTCCCCAGTGAAATGGCTTTCATCTGATTGGTGGTATTTTCCATCATATATGGGATATGGGATGTCATCCCAACCCCATTGACGAACTACTTTCATATTTTTCAGAGGGGTAGGGAAAAACCACCAACCAGCTATAAGTATATATACATCTTTTTCAGACGCCCCTGAAATCATGATGAATCCCCATCTGACACCTTCGTTTTGGCGATTCCCGTTTTGGGTAACACGATCCTGGAAAATTAATAGGAAACAATGACCAGTGTCTTGTAAGTTGTCATTTTAGAGCCAACCAAGCATGGATCTGTTTTTTTGGTCCATTCCATTTCATTCCCACATGTTTGGTAGGCGTGTATTCCCATCGCCCAAGTATTCCCATCATTCCCAAAGAAGCCCCAACAGTTTCAGTTTTTGTAACAGATTCGTGTGTAAATCCTCCAGATTTGGTGTATTTCCACCAACCCTAAGATGGAGCAGTTTGAAACCTGCATTCATACTAGACCACACGCGCAACATTTTGGCAGAGCATTTCTGTCTTTCTAGAACCCAGTACTGGGGTATGCCTGAAGATTTGGCACAGAAAAACGCCCGAAGGTTCATCATAGTTTACACCATGTATCAACCACATGGAGGCGGAACCCCAATCCTGTATTTGTCCATTAAATCTAGATGTATTGTTGGTTGAATATGTATTTTTCTTGGCGTCCCGGTGATCTTTCTATCTAGCTATCAATCTATCAATAGTTCATAAATTAGGATATCTATCTATCATATATCTTTATATATCGTTCATACATCAAACTCTCAGTTCATATATCTATGCATCTAACATTATCTAACTATATGGACTAGATCCCAATATCCCACCTGTCTTGATCTGTTTCTAGAGCCAGCTTGTTGGTTGAATTCCGACTTATATCCCGATTTTGAATGCTTTCAATACAGTAAGGAGCGCTGTGAGCCCATAAACACGGTGTGTTGCTGTGTTACCCTATCATTTTCGTACTTTTACCATCGTTTACCATGGTTTTTGAAGCCATTTGGAGAGTCTAGGTATAGAAATCCCCGTTTTGACGGGAACTTCCGCAGAACTCCCGGCAGAACTCCCGAGGTATCGCTGCCCGGACTGGGCGTGCCCCGGCGGCATGCCCGGCGCCTGCGGCAGTGGCCTGAAAGGAGCCACCTGCGGCGCTTGCCCGGAGAAGCAGTTCTTTGCAGAGGTGTGGATCGTGCACCATGAAAATTACTATTGAACATGGTGACTTTTAATCCTCAATAGTACTATGGTTCATCTATTATGAGGATTAATTAATAATGGTAATCCTCATATATTAATCATGCAAGGTGGTGCCCCCCCAGTTATAAGTTGAACGTTGCTTTATAATCCCCATGAATACTATAGATAGTTCACCCCCTAATCAATAGATATGATATAACCCCCATAAATATCAACCCTAGTGAAATTGGACTTATAAACCAAAATAGCTAACTATGGGGCACCACCTTGTGTGGAGATGGAGATGGATCTACTTGGATCTACCGGTTATGTCAAAATAGCTATTGAAAATGGCAGAAATAGTGGATTTACCCATTGAAAATGGTGATTTTCAATGGTGGCTTAGTTCACCCAGATTCACATGCGATTTTTGGGCTGGGTTCATCCGATAATCCACTTAGAACTAGGGTGAACTGGGCCACTTACGATCCGTGGGATGAGCCAAGTCGTAATGGTAATGAATTCCACCAATAAACGGTGAAATAAGCATAGTAGAGGTTATATCCCAACTGGGGTTGGAATCCCCCTTCCCCAACTGTGCCCCCAATCATGTTTGTTACTTACCCTCTGGTCATAAAAAACATAGCTATGGAACATGGCCCATGTGGTTCAATGATTTCTGATTTGCATATCAAAAGTGAACAAATTTTCCATCGCTACGTCAAATAACCAGAGGGCATCCATTTATGATATCTGATATCCAATATTCATATTGATATTTATTGACATGTATATCGTGAAATTTAACATTACCTAGCCAGTTGCTAGATCGATTAATGGTAATGTGACAATATAGTAGCATATTATTGTATATAGCCGGTATTCAATTATCCATCTTGATTAATGGGATTTATCTAGCAAGTTATTGTCCAACCGATTATATGATAATAACCAATGACTAGATCAATTAATGGGATTTAATTGGATATTAAATTAAGTATTGATAATGGTAATATCTAATGTTCATATTGATGATGATATCTACTGATATGATATCCAACCCATTACTAGATTGATGAATTGGGATTTATTTTGCAGTTGTCAGTGCATTCCATTTTCAAACATCCAAGGCACTTTGATTTTCCAGAAGTTGGGCGTAACCGCTGCGAATTGTAGCTGCCCTTTTGTGGATCAATTCCAAACATTCAGGCTGAAAGGTAGAAAACAAAGGGATTGCGGTGCTGTGGGTCATTTCCGGATGTGCTCCGGTTCACCAGGTTATGAGCCCAAGGTGAAATCCAACCCTGCGCCGTGGAATCTTTGGTTGTTAGAAAAGGGCAACCCAACAAGAATTATGTTAAGTTGCTGACGGAGAGCTTTCCAGGGATCCACCAATATTTGGTGCAACAGAAGCGTTTTGTGCTTTTGGGAGAACAGACAAAACGCTTCTTACGTTTTTCGCAATCACATGAAAAGAAAAAACGCTTCTTTGGAAACCAGCTGCCTTCTTGCCACTTACAGCTTGGTGGAAACTTGGTGAGGTGAAACCTGGTGAAAACATTTTGAAAACTTGGTGAAAATCTGGTGAAAACCCGGGGAAAACCTGGTGAACACCTGGTGAAATTGCCAAAACCTGGTGAAAACTTGGTGAAATTCCCAAAACCTGGTGAAAACCTGGTGAAATTGATTGAAGAAGTGTTTTGCACCTTAATTTCACCAAAAGAAGCGTTTTTTTTTTGTGAAATTTATCCGTTTTGGCGGTGAAATTGAAGGCAAAACATGAACCTGGTGAAAACTTGGTGAAATTTCCAGAACCTGGTGAACTTTCGAAAGTTGGTGACAAATAGCTGAAATTTCCGAAACCTGGTGAAAACCTGGTGAAATTTTCAAAACCTTGTGAAGACCTGGTGAAATTTAGAAACTTGGTGAAAACCTGGTCAAATTTCCAAAAACCTGGTGAATGTTTAGGTGAAGTTCGGGCAATTTTCTCGACCTCAGGGATTTTCTGAAACCTGGTGAAAACCTGGTGAAAACCTGGTGAAATTCCGCAACCTCGGTGAACATGGCAATAATTTTCAAAGAAGCGTTTTGCTCTTTTGGGTCTTGGTGAAAAACGCTTATTGCAATCTGGACCCAAAATGGTTTAGTCAAAACGCTTCTTTGTCCTCCGTACCTAACCGCTAAGCAACTCAACAAAGAACTAGAGCAGGGAGTCAAAGAAATGGAAGATGCCCAAAGAGCATGGAAGCTGAGAATAGAGTAAGAGGCGAGGAGCCCATAGAAGATATACGTAGTCCTGATGGGGGAACAATAGACGGGTCTCAAAACCAAAGGGTTGAAAAAGAAGATGGAGAGGTAGATAAAAAATCACCCAATCCAGCTTTGGGTCAGTCCCGACCAGCTGTGCCGCCAACACCGCCACCTGCGCAACCACCTGAAAGCGTTCTGAAGAGGTGTATGGCATCAGCAAAGACATCAAAGGAGGTGTTAACTGAAGTCCAAGGACAGGAGGAGAGCAAGGGTGGGATGGGTAGCACACAAGGGTCATGTAGGGCTGTTGAAGAAGAAGTTTGATGAAGGAGACCCCAAATGATCCTCAAAAGACCCCCCAAGATGCGAAGAAACATGAATTCGACATGGGCTTCACACCACTGTTCACGCCAGAGAAAATCCAGCATATGACTCAGCCTCACATGCAAGCTCCTTGGCTGCATGGAGCCAGTTCCTCTGCATTCATTCCGCCAGTTCAGAGGCCTGGGTTCTTAGATGTGGATGAAAGAAGAAACAATGAGGACTTGAGAGAAAAAGAAAGGCAGATAGATGATGAACTGAGAAACAGAATGTTTCGACACGGCATGGTACTCGCTTGTGCACCTGAGAATCGTCTCGCTTGTGCACCTGAAAATCCTCTCGCTTATGCACCTGAGAATCTTCCACTTCTACCTCTACTTGCACCTCTCATTCTACTTCCACTTCTACTTTCAGCTCTATTCCTACTTGTCCTTCTACTTATTTTTCCACATCTATTTCTACTTCTCCTTCTACTTCCACTTCTACTTCTACGTTTACTTCTACATCTACTTTCACCTCTATTTCTACTTCCACTTCTACTTTCAGCTCTACTTCTACTTCTACTTCTACATCTATTTCTACTTCTCCTTCTACTTCTACATCCACTTCTACTCCTACATCTACTTCTACTTCCACTTCTACTTGTACTTCTACTTCTACATCTACTTCTACTTCTACTTACAATTCCACTTCTACTCCTGCATCTACTTCTACTTCCACTTCTACTTCTACTTGTACTCCTACATCTACTTCTACTTCTACTACTGCTTCTACTTCTACTTCTACTACTGCTTCCACTTCCACTTCTACTTCTACTTCTACTTACATTCCCACTTCTACTCCTACATCTACTTCTACTTCCAGTTCTACTTCTACTTCTACTTCTACTCCTACATCTACTTCTACTTCTACTGCTACTACTGCTTCTACTTCTACTTCTACTTCTATTTTTACCTCTATTTCCACTTCTAGTTCTACTTCTACTACTGTTTCCACCTCTACTTCTACTTCTGCTTCTACTTCTACTTCTGCTTCTACTACTGCTTCCACTTCTACTTCTACTTTTACTACTAGTACTGCAATTACTACCAGGACTAGGTATATCATTACCAGCACGAATGGAAACATCATTGATGAGGTTGATAACGAAGAAAAACACAAACAGATCCAAGAAGATGAAGAGAAGGAGCAATAAAACATTTTTCTGTGCATCATCTTTTGAATTTGGATTTTGGACTGGAGCGCCACAATTGTTTGCCACATGTATGGCTCACAGATGAGGTGGTGTTGGAAGCAAAATTTTGCAAATGCGGTGAGGCTACTGGGGGTTACATGTGCAAAGGAAGCGTTGAAAAATCATGAAACAAATGGCTGAGGCAAAGTTTAACAAGTCCCGAATCAAGTATGATGAAGCGACAAGCAGCCATGCGACGGCACTTCTTACATCAAGTTCAACAACATATAAACCCTAAAGGTGTCGTGGCTCTTCTTACATCAAGTGCAACAAGGTAAACACCTAAAGGTGTCGTGGCTCTTATTACATCAAGTGCAACAAGATACAAACCTAAAGGTGTCGTGGCTCCCCTTACATTAAGCGCAACAAGATATAAACCCTAAAGGTGTCGTGGCTCTCCTTACATCAAGTTCAACAAGGTATAAACCCTAAAGGTGTCGTGGCTCTTCTTGCATCAAGTGCAACAAGGTATAAACCCTAAAGCTGTCGTGGCTCTTCTTACATCAAGTACAACAAGATATAAACCCTAAGGGTGTCGTGGCTCTTTCTTACATCAAGTGAGACAAGATATAAACCCTAAAGGTGGCTCTTCTTACATCAAGTGCAACAAGATATGAGCCCTAAAGGTGTCGTGGCTCTTCTTACATCAAGTGCAACAAGATATAAACCCTAAAGGTGTCGTGGCTCTTCTTACATCAAGTGCAACAAGATATAAACCCTAAAGGTGTCGTGGCTCTTCTTACATCAAGTGCAACAAGATATGAGCCCTAAAGGTGTCGTGGCTCTCCTTACATTAAGTGCAACAAGATATAAACCCTAAAGGTGTCGTGTCTCTTCTTAAATTTAGTGCAACAAGATATAAACCCTAAAGGTGTCGTGTCTCTTCTTACATCAAGTGCAACAAGATATAAACCTAAAGATGCCGTGGCTCTTCTTACATCAAGTGCAACAAGATATAAACCCCTAAAGGTGTCGTGGCTCTTCTTACATCAAGTGCAACAAGGTATAAACCCTAAAGGTGTCGTGGCTCTTCTTACATCAAGTGCAACAAGATACAAACCCTAAAGGTGTCGTGGCTCTCCTTACATTAAGTGCAACAAGATATAAACCTTAAAGGTGTCGTGGCTCTTCTTACAGCAAGTTCAACAACATATAAACCCTAAAGGTGCCGTGGCTCTTCTTACATCAAGTGCAACAAGATATGAGCCCTAAAGGTGTCGTGGCTCTCCTTACATTAAGTGCAACAAGATATAAACCCTAAAGGTGTCGTGGCTCTTCTTACATCAAGTGAGACAAGATATAAACCCTAAAGGTGTCGTGGCTCTTCTTACATCAAGTGCAACAAGATATAAACCCTAAAGGTGTCGTGGCTCTCCTTACATTAAGTGCAACAAGATATAAACCCTAAAGCTGTCGTGGCTCTTTGTTTGCAATGTGTGATAGCGTAATTTCCTGGTAGTTTACGTATAAAATGCAACAAGATATAAACCCTAAAGGTGTCGTGGCTCTTTGTTTGCAACGCGTGATAGCGTAATTTCCTGGTAATTTACGTATAAAATGCAACAAGATAAAAACCCTAAAGGTTTCGTGGCGCTTTGGTTGCAATGCGTGATGGCGTAATTTCCTGGTAATTTGCGTATAAAATGGAGACCCAGGTGCGTAAGTAAGTGATTTTCTAGGTGCGCAAGTGAGTGCATTTCCCAGGTGCGTAAGTGAGTGAATTTCTAGGTGCGCAAGTGAGCGTAGTGCCCTTTTGACACCAACAGGAGCAGTCTGAGATCAAACGTTTGCTTTTGTCGGTCATAGAAGAAAACAAGAAGTTGAGAGACAGAGTTCAAGCAGTAAAGATGCAGCCGCAGGATTTTGCGACCCCTGACAGCTTATCAAAAGCAGGCAGTGTTCAGGCTGACCGTTCCGTGAGCGCTGATCCTCGTCGTCTTCAAGGTCTGAAGCTTGAAGGACTGTTTGAACAGGAGGCTGCTAGACCCCCAAAGGAGGACGGGCTAGATGGCCGAAAAGGGTTTCAGGAGGCTGCTAGATCCCCAAAGGAGGATGGGCTAGGTAGCCAACAAGGGTGCAAGGAGGCTGCAAGGAGGATGGGCTAAATGGCTGACAAGACAAAGACAAGGAGGCTGCAAGACCCCAAAGGAGGATGGGCCCAGAGGCCAACAAGCGAATGGAGGGGACTTCAACACCCAATCCATGGAGCTCATGTTTCTGATGGTGCAATCAGTGCGAGGTGAAGAAGGGAGCGTCATGGGTGAGGAGGTTGTGCGATCTGGAGCTCCTGATTTGCCCGATCTGTTGCCATGGGCCTCGACTGGGCCTTTGCAGCTTGGCGATTGGATGCTGCTTCTCAGTCCGATCATTTCAGATCTGTCAACCACTTCGCAAGATTGGGTGGTCTCTCATGACAAAGGATCTGGAGGCATGCTATCAAAGGCACATTTCCATGTCACCACTGGATCGACCCAATCATGATTTTGCAGCTCCTGAAAGTCTGAAGCAACCACGTTGGCAAAGATTGGAAAGACGCGTTTTTACCATGGTCATGAAAGCGATTCCAGAGAGTTGCGGGGAGGAGTTGGTAGCAGACAGAAGGTTGGATGTCTATGGGGTGCTGACGTACCTGTACACAACCTACTGTCCAAGTAGGGTTGCAGAAAAACAGCATCTCCTCAGAGCTTAGAAGATCCTTCTGAGATCATCAGCATGCACGATGCCCCAGCAGCCATTCGTCGCTGGCTGCGCTGGAGAAGAAGGGCAAGAGTGGTTGGCGCTGTTGAGCCGGATCCAGCCATACTTCTGAAGGGTTTGAACCGAATGACAAAGAGAATCCTTGAGAATCACCTACAACTCAGAGTTTCCCTTGTCCGCAGCAACTTGGCTGTGGACACAACTCAAACTCTTCTTGCAGAGCTGGAACAGTTGGCGGTCACCGAGAAAAGGGTCACAGCCGCCGCACCAAAGAGAGATCAAGAAGGTTTGAAGATTAAGGCGTTTGAGGCAGAGGCTGGTGAGATGAAGAAAACTATAGTGCTGGTGCTGACGCCACTGCTTTAAGACTGACGCTGTGGTTTGCAGCCCGCTGTCAGTGGCTTGGTCTTTCCCTTGACATCACAACAGCATTCCTCAACGCCTGCCTTGACCAAGAAGACCAGTCCAACTGGACAGTCCAACTACATCTTGGTTTCTCCGCCACCAATCTTCGTCAAGAAGGGTTGCCTTCCTGCTGGAACTGTCTACAGACCCAGGTTGAGTTAGGAGGAAAGAAAATCAAGTTGGTCATGAGGCAGCTGGACTCCGAGCCCAATCTTTGGAGGTTGAAGAAAGCGGAGGAGGAAGAAAGTGAAAGCTCTCCGAACACCAACTACGGCTTGGTGATGACCTACGTAGATGACATCCTGATCACTGCACCAAAGGAAATCACAAAGGCAGTGGCTGCGAAGTTTTAAGAAACGTGGGCTACATCAAGTCCAGAAATTGTGGGGGAGATTCCCACTCGTTTTTTGGAATGGAAATCTCAACCTCCAAAGGCCCAGATGGCCGAGAAGTTTGGCATGTCACTCAGGAATCATACATCAAGGACATGGCGAAGCGTCAAAATTGCGAAGTTTTGCCCAGAAGAAATCACCAAAGATCAGGCCAGCATGTGTCTTGATGTCGAGCCGCCAAAGCTTGAGGCTGTTCGAAAGCGCCAAAAAGTTGTTGGAGAACTGCTTTGGGTCCTCACAAGAACCCGTCCCGATGTGATGTATAGCATTTTACGTCTGGGCTCCAACGTCACCAAAGCCACAAAGTCAGTTTTGGAAGCAGCCGATCAAGTTCAAGGATATCTGCTGCGAACATGCTCAGAAGGTTTGACATACAAAGATGATGGAAAAGAGCCAGTGAAGATCCAAGCTTTTTCAGATGCGAGTTATGCACCGACGAAGAGTCATTTGGATGCTTCATCATCACCTTGAACAAAGTTTGGCGTGCTGGTCGCCGACACATGGTGACCCTTTCAACTGCAGAATCAGAGCTGGCTGAGCTGGTTGAAGCGATGACAGCTGGAGAATCAGTTGCATCAACAGTAGATGAGCTAATTGGCCCAGTTCAACGTGGAGCATTCACCGACTCCCAAGCAGCTGCATCCATCATCAGCACCGATGGTGGATCCTGAAGGACTCGACATCTGCGAACTCGAGCCTCATATGCGAGACAGTCAGTTTTGTCAGGCTTTTGGGCCATTCAGCACATTCTGGGGGCTGTCATGGTGGCGGACATCGGCACCAAGCCACTGACATCAACCCGCCTCGACAGCTTGAAAGATTTGATGATTTGATGATGATGAGCCAAAGAAGAAGGAGGAAGAAAAGATTGAGGAGGAGGTGAAGAAGGAAAAGACAGAAGGAACAGAATTGAGAAGTGTGCAGGTCAGCCAGGACTTGCTGAGGCTGGTCATTACCATTGCCATTTTGGCAGCTGCGAAAGCAGACGATGGAGAAGAAGAAGAAGCCCAAGAAGGATCAAGAGAATTTGGGATGTTTTTAGCAGCTTTTGCCGTGATTGTGGCGCTGCTGACCTTGTCCCTCCAATGGCTCTGGAAGGTTGGAGTAAGGCTGGTGAAAGAATCGGCAGCCCGAAGTCGCCCTGAGTTGGAGGAGAGAAAGAAAGAGATGAAAAGAAGAAAGGAGGGAGAAGTGGCGGTTGGGGTTGAACCCGAGTGGTTCAGTCCGCCTCCTTCCGGCCGGTCCAGTCCGCTTCCCGCCGTAAGTTGGGGTTGGACCAGAGGGGTCCAGTCCGCCTCCCTCGTGGATTGCCACCTCCAGGTTTTCCTCTTTTGATCTCTACAATGAGTGGACGTTTTCATGCTGATTTCCAATGCCCTCATCGAGGCAAATCTGTTCAGTACAACTTGTGCATCCGCTGCAACGAAGGATTGAAGACTAGCATGAAGTCAGCAAAAAAATATCGTTGACGCTGAGGGGGAGCGCAGTTGTCAGTGCATTCCCTGTTCAGACATCCAAGGCACTTTGATTTTCCAGAAATTGGGCATAACCGCTGCAAATTGTAGCTGCCCTTTTGTGGATCAAGTCCAAACATTCAGGCTGAAAGGTAGAAAACAAAGGGCTTGCGGTGCTGTGGGTCATTTCCTGGTGGGCTCCGGTTCACCATATTTCATTTACACTCTGGTTATTTAACATAGCTATGGAACATGGCTCAGTTATAGATTATATATCTATGATGGTTTAGCTATCAATAATGGACATTTCCCATAGCTATGTTAAATAACCAGAGAGTCTTGGATATTCTACGATTTTTGAACTAATGTAGGCGACCACGTAGATTAACTGTAATGTAATATCGAACATATTGACATATTGAATCATATCTATGAATAGCTCCTCTGGTAATGGCAAGGGGAACGCTAATGGCAACCTAATATAAATGGTAGCCATTGGTAACCAAGTAATGAAAATGACATATGATGGTGATATCTAACCAACGAAATCTGATCTCTAATGCTAACACATCTTTTCCAAGGGGTAGTCTGGCAATGGATCCCTATATGATTTGGCCATGAAAATGCGGACTAAAAGTGTTTTTTTCCGTGTTGGCCATGGTTGATCACCAGATGTTAACCCATTTCCCATGTGTATCCCATTCATATTCCATTTCACCCAACTTTCAGCAGGTTTGCAAACCCTGAGATCTGGGGAAACCGCGGGTTTTCTTCCATGTCAGGATTCGGGTGCCTGCACACCTTGTGCCTCTGAATGGATTGTTGTGTTGCTGCTTGGTGACTGAGGTTGGTCTTGGATTCAACGTACTTGGTCCATCTTGGACGATGCATTTGAGGTTACAAATAGGCATAACCATGGTTATAAACCCCCATAAGTATCCATAAGTTAGGATATATCATCATATCACCCTTACGATTATGGTTGTATATCCACTAAAACATTGAGCTGCAGTTCCAAGTAGCAAAATTGATCTAGCACTCATGCGGTAAAACCAATGCCATGTTTCCCTAGCATTTGGGGATGATCTGTCCCATTTCTGGGATGGGCCAGTGTTTGGTTTACCACAGTACCAATTTCTTGGCGTGACATGCACTTTCGTTATTTTTACAGCATGTAGACATCGGATCTAGGTAGCCATTATTATTTGTTGTTGAAACAACTTAACATGATTTACTCATCGGTGCGTTGATGGGTGCGCCGGTTTTCATAAACCACCCTGAGTTCTCGTCTCGATCTCTCAGTCAAATTGGTGATGTGTCAAAACCTATTATTGCCATATTTGAGGGAATCATCCATTAACCAGCTATTCTAGGGTACCTACGGTACCAGGATTGTGATTCAAAACCGTTCAAAGGACTTGTATGGTTCAACGTTCCAAAATCGTAACGCCAGGTTTCCTGTCAGTGTAACCCCCATCCCAATCTCCAAATTTTATTGTGTTTTACGCATTGGTGAGCAGTTGGTGAATGCCATCCCCAGATCGGCAAAAAACAGCCGAAGAATGAGATTCCAAAATGAACAAATCCAGTAGTAGAATGTAGTAGACTTAGTAGACCATGATTTCTCACATTTTTTTGGGGAGCTGTTCGGTCTCTGCTTTTCAACCTACCTAATTTGGCACAGAATTTTGGGGACACCTCGCCAAAATTTCGGAAAAAAAGGTGACCTGATCCGGGAAGATGATGATCAACCAATGTCACCAGGCTCATCGGCGTCGCGCTCCTGGTGAGTGCTTTGGCGGGCTCCTACTACATGCTGCCCTCCAAATATAGTGCAACAGCTTCTCGGCTTCCCATGGCAGCCAGAAAAAGACCATTGTTTACCCTCTGGTAAAGATACAAAAACCTATGGAAAGATCCACCATTTTTAATGGGAAAATCAACTGTAAATCACCATTTTCTCTAGCTATGTTAAATTACCGGTACCCGCATAAAATCGTCATTGATTGTCAGAATCTTAGGAAATAGTTGGAACATCCATTTCGCCAGTTCGGGGATGGTACCATCCCCAAGTACCATTTTGGGTGGCAAATATCACCTCCAAATGCCAAATGTTATAGGTTTATGGCAGCCATTGGCGAGTTGGTGAATACCACATGATTTTTCCTACCAGATGGATCTAGATGGTGGGCTTGGGGTCCGTATATTCGAAAAACCCATCCTAACTTTCGACGGTCAGCACCGTGAATCACGGGATCATTTGAGAGCCCATTTGGGGCTCAAACAATGGAGACCTTTCCGGGGAATAGACGTTTGCAACCCCAAATTCCACATTTTAAGTATCCCAAATCCAAGCTGCAACCCTCACAAAATGGGGCTGGAATATGATTTTGGCACAATGAAATTCGATCCCATACTATACTACGTCCCATTTTAGTTAAATATATGATATATTACAACTGTATAAAGTATAATGCATGATAAATGATATATTATATACTATCCAATTACAACTGTATACTATGTATAATATATATATATATAAGGTTTTGGCTTTCAGCTCCCCACGTCGGCTGTATTGCCCTGAACCTTAGCGGGTCTTTGTGACGACCGACCCGCGGGCTCCCCGCTGCTGGGGCCTTGCAAGCGCTGTTGCGCTCTTGCGCTCTGCGGATCTTGAGTTGGTCCGCATCGCCTTCGCTCATACAGCTCGTCTATTCCGATCCTGCTCTACCTGGATAAGCCTACCTGGTGCGGTTCGACTTGGTCGCCGTACGTGGTTCCTTTCTGGTATTCAGGGCTTCGGTTCCCTAGGACAAAGGTTCTGGGACGGGTTACCAATTCACTGCCTTAAATTGGATTTGGGGATTTCTATTTCACGGTGTTTTCCCTCACGATTGGGCCTTTGATGCTTATTGTGCTCAATTTTGTGTTTGCGATCCAATTGGTCCTTTCTGGCTTTGATCAACTTTGCCCTGACCACCACGGCATCGGTGACACAGAGGCGGACTCAGCGCAGGAAACGTGTAACTGCACGGCGTTTGTGGTTTCTACATCGTCGAGGAGCACTTCGCCTTTCACAAGGGCGACTCAAGCACATTTTCCAGGTGCTCCGCCATCATCATTCGAAGGATTCGACCTTCTTGGGCCTCATCGCAGCCACAATGACAGACAATGCTCCGTGGCGATGTCTGGGATGCAGACAACTTCGCAAGCATTCAGCCAACCATTGTCATATTTGCCAACAACCTTGGCAAGTTGCGATGGACAGGACGTACGTTCATCAACCTGGAGGGCAAAAATCCCAGGAGACGTACGCAACCGGCTGGAATTACAACCAAGGATGGGATGGACAGCAGAATTGGAATCGAGAGCGCTCTCAGAGTCGCACTCATACCCCAAAGAAGGGCAGGAAGCCGAAGGGGGCGAAGACTCCCAGGAACAATGCTCAGGGCGAAGGGAAAGGAGCCCGAATGATGCCATTTCCAACAGCCCCCAGTTTTGGCAAAGGCCAACCGCTGCCTCCACCTCCCATGCCATGGCCGGGCTATGCAGGAATGAACCAGCCCATCATGATGCAGCCCCCCATGCAGCCTATACAGCCCATGCAGCCTATGCCTGCATCCATACCACAGCATCAGCCACCGCCTCAATTAGCACAGATGATGGCACCAGTGGCTCCAACCTTCTCAGCACCTTCGCCTCCTCAGACATCGGTGAGTTCAGAGCAGATGGAATTCATCGAGATTGCACGAGCTCGGCAATCCGAACTGCCAGCCGACATGAGGCACCAGATGCAGAAGATGGCGAAGAAGGAGGGAGCAAGGGCCACAAAAGACCTACACAGTGCTGTCAAGCAACTTGGAATTGCGAGAGCAGAGGTGGAGGAAGCCATTCAAGCCCGCATCAATTTGATTGCCTCTTGGAAGAATTTCCTCACAGAAGCTGTCAAGACGTGGCAGGACTACACCGTCCTCTTTCAGACCCAAGAACGTGGTCTTCAAGCCAGGATCCAGGAAGCTCAGGAAAATTTTGCCCAGGCAAAAATCCAGGCTGCGGAATCCCAAGCAGTGGCAGGCAAGCTCACGATCGAGATCAAGGACGAGGATGACGATTTGGTGGATGGTCAGGAAACCACCGATCTCTCGGCGGGCAAGATCAACGAGGGCCTTGCCACGCTGTCTGCGTCCCTACAGCAGATGAAGGAACAAGCGGATGCGATCGTGGTGGAAGAGAATGCGGCAAAGAGACAACGCACCGCAGCCTCCCAGTTAGGGGATCAGGTGATGGAGGTCGGCGTTCCAGCAGGCTCCAAGGCATCTTCCAAGCCGCCTTTTGCCTCGCCCGGCTGTCCATGACGTTCTCGTATGACAGCTTAGGGCTCTGCCGCCACTGGAGCAATGATGCTTCAGGATTCATCATGAAGTGGCACAACAGAGCGTTGCTCAAAGACGAATTTGTCTCTGAATGGAAGGCAAGGGAACTTGCAGTGGGGCTTGCAAGTGAACTGTCATACCAGACAGACGCATCTTCCTCTTTCTGGACTACCTCATGGAGTTCCCGTCATGAAGGTTGCCGGACAATACCAATCACAAAATCTTACCAATCACAAAATCTTTCTCAAGGAGGACAAGATCAAAGACTCTGCATGTGGGTTTTGCAGAGCCTGTTGACGTTTGGATTGGCTGCGAAGACTCCTTCCAGATGTATCACACTCTTGGCTCCCTTGAAACTTTCGCATCAAGGACATCACCATGGAGCTGCCCTGATTTCAATGGAGCAGAATCCAACCTTCGAACCTTTGACCTCATCGCGACCTCGGATTCTTCCAGGAATACCGTTGTGAGAGGTTTGAGTCCGCATCCTTTGTGGGCCCATGACATCCTTGAACTTTTACGACAAGAAGGACGACCAGATGCTGACGAAGATGGGCCAATTGTGTACATTACTTCGTACTTCATCGATCATGATGTACATCCTCATCACGATCTTCCTCGACTTCTCCGCTTCGACAGTGATGTCTCGGACTGGGAGAGAGACGTGTGCCTGATATGGGAAGATTACATCGATGTTTCAATACCATTTGATGTCACGTTAGTGAAGCCGGAGTCACCGCATCATGTCTACCCGGATGCTGTTGCCACAGCCATTGTGCACCAAAGGGCCACATTTGCCCGGGCTGCAGCCCTCATCACTACAGTACGCATTGCAGATCCAACCACGAGATTCTCTGAATGTGCTCATTCTTTCCCAAGACAGGCTGACACCGAGGCTATTTACCAAGCCGCCCAGGTATCTGCACTCTGTCAGGAAAGGCTTGCATCGGGCTTTGGTGCCTGCACTCTTCATTCAGGTCATCTTCAATTACCAGATGGACAATTGCAGCATCTTCATCATGGCATCGGACTGCACATCAAGGTCCCACCTGCCCTCAGTGATGATGAACTTGAGCAAAATCTGGAACGAAGAGTCCGACAAAGACAATCACTTCACCCACCGCACGTTTGGAATCCTCCACCTGGAGATGAACAACCGGAGACAGATCATCCCAGGAACAATGACACCAATGATGCTCCTGAAGATATCACGTCCTTCATGGCCAGACAGTTGATGGTTCAGGACATTGCCGCAACTTCTCCAACTGACGGAGCTTCCAGGAGTGAGAGAAGTTCATCATCGCCTTCTTCCTTTTCCTCATCGACGATCAGTGGTACAGAAGATTGGCGCCAAACAGTGATATCTTCACTAGATGGCAGGTCAATTTCTACACAACTTCCACGGCACGACCAAACAGAGCTCTATCGCCTTGCGGCTAGGGAATTTGGAATTGAACCGCTCGATATCATACGTCTACACCTGGTCCTGCACCGGCCCTTGGACTACATTCAAGTTGATCTTCATGGGCTTCTGATTCAAAGACTTCCTGAATTTCGACCAACACCCTTTGAGCGTCTCGTGCTCTTGGACTTAGAATTGCACGTAGACAATGATGTGCAACCGACACCCTCTCGTCGGTATGTTCGATGGTTACCGTACGTCATCAATCGCCCTTCGCTCTTCCAATTTCTTGGCCTTGAACGTGTTCTTGCTGAGCATGGTGATATCAGCTACCTTTGGAAGAACAATGTCATAGTTCCGCAAAGGGATGCCTCACCCATGAACATTCTTGACGGCGACTACGTCAAAATCTTTGTCGGTGAGGTTGACATGCAAGAACAATGCATTTCAGAATCGGATGCGGTGATCGATGATGCTTCTGTGACCTCCAATGATTCAAATGACCTCAGCAGTCTCTGTCAAAGATCCGCTGCTCAATTTCATCAAGCCTTCCATGGATTTGGAAAACAACTTGGGCTGATCTCGACCAAGACGGATCCAACTCAAACTGACTATGGAGGTCAGGTATCACATCGACCAGCAAGAGCACTTGCTCCGCCAAGAACCACCTTCCACAGCGGCTTTCACCCGGATGATCACAGACGACTTGCCAACCTATTTGACAGAGAGGCTTTTGTTGAATGTGAAGAGGAAGGAAGAGTGGCTTACATTGAAACCTGGCACATCCATCAAATGCACCGCCGTCATTGCAGAGATCCCCGAGCGATGAAGCTGCATGACAATCCTCAACATTGGGCTGAAGAGATTCTCGCGCTTTGGGATTTGACGGGAGACCAGGAGACCGATATTATCCTTCACCTAGTTCAGCCGTCGCCCCCGTGCACCAGATTTCACTGCGTTCTGGCCCTCAGCCCGAGATGACCGTTGGTCTTCTGTCCATTGACGCGTCGGATCATAGAGGAACTTCTCTGGAGCACGAAGCCCATTCATTGTCAGACTACA